ATATTATATTATTATTATTATTATTATTATTATTATTAATTAATAATAAATAAATAAATACACCAAAACATTCCTATACAGCAGACTAAACCTAATGTCATGAATATACAAAAAAAAAAATATAATAATAATAATTAGTGAACGAATTAAATGAGCCAAATACAATAATTAAATATTTTTCAAAGGATTTGAAGACATTTTGTTTGATAAACAATTATAATGCATGAAAAAATTTATAAGTGTGCATCTAAAAAAATTTTCAGTACAAACAAAATCTTTTTGAACTCAAAACAATCCTTTATCTGTCATGTATGGATGAAAACAGCAGGAATAAAACTAGATTTTGACATTTTCTGAAGTGCGAAATGCACCACTATGATGCTGCAGTGTTGTGGGCGGTTGCCGGATTGTTCTGAGTGTTTTTAGCATGTTCCCAAGAGGTTTCTTCCCGTCTCGATGAGATGCAAGACACTTAATCAGCACTGATATATAACAGCACAAAGAGCTCAAGCGGTTTGTAAAACTCACGATTATACTGAAAAACAGCAGATGCATAAGAAATCCTGACTGCTGATCTGTGAAGCACAGTGATGTAAGCGTGTGTCTGCTCTTGTGTCACTGTGGTGTGTTCAGGCTGAGCGAGGAGCAGATCGCGACCGTGTGTGAGGCGGTGCTGCAGGCGCTGGCGTATCTCCACTCGCAGGGCGTCATACACAGAGACATCAAGAGCGACTCCATCCTGCTCTCGCTGGACGGACGCGTGAGTCCATCTGTGTCAAACCATGTGACCCTGGAGTCGCTGGGGTATATTTGTAGCAATAGCCAACAATACATTGCATGGGTCAAAATGATAGATTTTTCTTTTATGCCAAAAATCATTAGGATATTAAGTAAAGATCATGTTCCATGAAGATATTTTGTAAATTTCCTACCGTAAATATATCAAAACTTAATTTTTGATTAGTAATATGCATTGCTAAGAACTTAATTTGAACAACTTTAAAGATGATTTTCTCAATATTTAGATTTTTTTGCACCCTCAGATTCCAGATTTTCAAATATTGTGCTATCCTAACAAACCATACATCAATGGAAAGCTTATTTATTCAGCTTTCAGTCAAACAAGCAAGCCCTGTTACATTTTTTACATTTTATTTTATTTTACTATTTTATTTGAACTATAAATAAATAATAATAAATTAACTGATTATGCAAAAAGAAAAACATTTGAAAATGGACCAAATAATAAAATGAAATAAATAAGTAAAATGCTGAAAAATTCAGCTTTGCAGGAACAAGAATAAATTACATTATAGAATATGTTACAATAGGAAACAGTTATTTTAAATTGTAATAATATTTCAGAATATTACTGTTTTTACTGTATTATTATTCAAAGAAATGCAGTTTTGGTGAGCAGAAGAGACTTCTTTCAGAAACAAACAAAAAAACAGCATAGTACTTTTGAACACTATATATATATATATATATATATAACTCTTACCCGTCTCTATGTTTCTGACTCAGATCAAGCTGTCAGACTTTGGCTTCTGCGCTCAGATCAGTAAAGATATCCCGAGGAGGAAGTCTCTGGTGGGAACGCCGTACTGGATGGCCCCGGAGGTCATCTCCAAATCCCCGTATGGAACGGAGGTACAGCTGAACACCACAAAACAAACCACATGAAGCAGACTCCGCTGTGACTGTCAGATTAAACAAGGACTGCTGTGCTGAATCTGCAGGTGGATGTTTGGTCTCTGGGCATCATGCTGGTGGAGATGGTGGACGGAGAGCCTCCGTATTTCAGTGAGACGCCGGTGGCTGCCATGAAGCGTCTGAGAGACGAGCCGGCGCCCACCGTACGCAACGTTCATCAGGTACGAGCAAAACCTCTCCGTTAATCACAGAGAGACAGAGATGAACACACATGTACAGAATTACAGACAGTTTGAGGTTCTTACAAACATACACACAAAACCAGTGAATATCTGTATGTAAATAATAATAAATGAACGAAAACATTCCTTTACAGCAGGCTAAGTCTAATGTCATTAATATGCAAAAGAAAAAAATTGGAAAAATGAACTATTCAATTAAATGGTCTGGTCCAACCTGGAATAGAATAGAATAGAATAAAATATACAATAAAATAAAATAATATAAAATAAAATAAAATAAAATAAAATAAAATAAAAAATAACTATTCATTATTCAATTAAATGGTCTGATCCAACCCGGAATAAAATAAAATTATAAAATTATAAACGATTATATGGCATGAATAAATAAGCCTGTATCTCAAAGAGAAGTAAATATATATATATATATATAAACGGTATAATAAATGAACCAAAACATTCCTTAACAGTAGGCTAAACCTAATGTCATGAATTTACAAAAGAGAACATGTGAAAAATAATTAGTCAACAAATTATATCATATTATATAACATATCAAAAGGTGCTCAAGCCGTAAAACGGCTTTTGATGTGAAAATAATCAAAAAGTAAAATAAAATAAAAAAAATAATACACACCATATAATATAATAATAATGTAAAGTCCCATTGTGTACAAACTGATATGTGTGTGTTTAAACTGGTGTCCATATCTGTTAAAAAACATCCAGGCCAGTCATGTGTTACTTTGTCTGGTCTGTTTCCCTGTGAACGTCCCGTCTGTCCGCAGGTGTCCCCGATGCTGAAGGACTTCCTGAAGCGCATGCTGACGCGGGATCCGCTGGAGCGGGCCAGTGCCACAGACCTCCTGGAGCACCCCTTCCTCCTGCAGGCCAGCTCTCCGCAGTGCCTGGTGCCCCTGGTGGAGCAGTACCGCAAGCGCATGTCCCGCTGCTGAAGCCCCTGCATCCGCCGCTCTACTGAGTGGAGCTGGGCTGTCGGAGTGAGAAGCACCTCGTGTTCCCCGGAGCAATCAGGACTGAGATGGCTGTTCGATGAGAAATCAACTCTATAAAGCCATTTTCTTCTACCTGAGGACGTCTTATTGGTGCTTAAAAGGCGGTGAATCAGAGCAGAGGTGCGTCTGACTGAAATGCCACTGGGTTTTATGTTCTGTTCGAAGCGTGTTATCGTGATCGAATCTGTGGCCGCAGAAACCTGGAACAAGCCTCATTCGTGAATTTCATGAATGCTTGTGTTCGTTTATCAAATATTTCAGCTCATTTTATAATGCTTTCACATAATAATCTCACTGTTGTTGTTCTTTTTATTTTTTTTATAGCTGACACAACTGTTAACAATTTACAATAACGTTCCATTAGTTAACATGAAAACTGAAAAATACTTCTATATAAATGCATCATTCATAATTCATTCATTCATTAAAGCATTTATTAATCTTAGTTGATGTTAATTCCAACATTTATTAATACATTATTAACAACAAAAATAATAATAATAAATTACAATTATTTAAAATAAAATTGTATCTGTTAATATTATTTAATGGACCTGAGCTAATATGAACTAACAACGAACAGTTGTATTAACTAACTGTTAACAAAGTATACTGTAACAAATGTTGGTTAATGCATTATGCATTGTAAAGCATCACCTTAATATTTATTATCTACAAACTGGAATTATATATTTCAATCGATTATATTAATTTAGTTGATGTGCATCAAAAGTTGTGTGTATATTGGCTAAATTTCAACAGCTTCAAATGTGGCTCGTCCAATCTGATTTGAATGGATTAAATTAAATTAAATTAAATTAAATTAAATTAAATTAAATTAAATTAAATTAAATTAAAAATTTAATTAAAATAATTTTCAACAGCTTCTCCAGTCAAATTTTAATGTATTAAAGTATATAAATTAAATTCAATATAATTTAAAAGTAAAATAAAATAAAATAAAATAAAAGTAGCATACACCATATAATTCAGTTGATGTGCATCACAAGTTGTATGTATATTGGCTAAATTTAAACACCTTCAAATGTGGCTCATTTAGTCAGATGTTAAAGTATTACTAAATTAAATTAAATTATATTAAATTATATTTTAAAAATAAAATAAAATAATAAAAAATTTCAACTGCTTCAAATGTGGCTCATCCAATCAGGTTAAATTAAATTAAATTAAATTAAAAAATAAATAAAATAAAATAAAATAAAATAAAATAATGAAAAATTCCAACAGCTTAAAATCTGGCTCATCCAGTCAAATTTTAATGTATTAAAGTATATAAATTAAATTCAATATAATTTAAAAGTAAAATAAAATAAAATAAAATAAAAGTAGCATACACCATATAATTCAGTTGATGTGCATCACAAGTTGTATGTATATTGGCTAAATTTAAACACCTTCAAATGTGGCTCATTTAGTCAGATGTTAAAGTATTACTAAATTAAATTCAATTATATTAAATTACATTCAAAAAATTAAATAATAAAACATTTCAACTGCTTCAAATGTGGCTCATCCAATCAGGTTAAATGAAGTAATGAAATGAAATGAAATGAAATGAAATGAAATGAAATGAAATTAAATTAAAAATAAATTAAAATGAAATGAAATTAAATGAAATTAAAAATAAATTAAATATAATAATAAAAAATTCCAATAGCTTCAAATGTGGCTCATCCAGTCAGATTTTAATGTATTAAATTATATAAATTAAAATAAATTTAATTTAAAAGTAAAACAAAATAAAACAAAATAAAAGTAGCATACACCATATAATTCAGTTGATGTGCATCACAAGTTGTATGTATATTGGCTAAATTTAAACACCTTCAAATGTGGCTCATTTAGTCAGATGTTAAAGTATTACTAAATTAAATTCAATTATATTAAATTACATTAAAAAAATTAAATAATAAAAATTTTCAACTGCTTCAAATGTGGCTCATCCAATCAGGTTAAATGAAGTAATTAAATGAAATTAAATGAAATGAAATTAAATTAAATTAAATTAAAAATAAATAAAATATAATAATAAAAAATTCCAATAGCTTCAAATGTGGCTCATCCAGTCAGATTTTAATGTATTAAATTATATAAATGAAAATAAATGTAATTTAAGAGTAAAACAAAATAAAACAAAATAAAGTAGCATACACCATATGTGCATCAGTTGATGTGCATCACAAGTTGTATGTATTATTGCATACATTTCAACAGGTTCAAATGTGACTCATCCAATCAGATTTTAATGTATTTTGTTATTTGATTTGTAATCTACACCTTTTTGGGTTGAGTTTCCATCAAACGATAAAGAATTGGTCAAACATCAGAAATTGCTAATAAATTTCACAATTAAATACAAAGAAATGGCAAGTAACATTGAATTAAACATGAAATGTTAAAGTCGAAAGACTGAAACAGTATTTTCTCGTAAAACGAACAATCTTCATTTTATTTACAATTTCAAAAAAATCATTGTACTGTTACCGTGATATAATATTACTTGCACCATGTATTTGGTCATAATGCAAATCTTTACTCTCAACAACTGATGACAGTGTGGTACTTTCACCTCACATTTACCATTTTAAATGCCAATATTTTATCCAGAATCAGCGCAGATTCGTTCTGGGCCGGCTGAAAGAGAGATTTAACGCCACAGGAGGCACATATTTCCTCTGCGTTTCTACAGCTCGTGTAAGACTGGCTTGCATGGCTAAACAGTGGCTTGAATCTTAATCTGAGGAACGAAAGCGTCTCTTCAGAAAAGGCGGTGAAACGTTTTTATGAGCCATTGTAACCAACTGTATATATTTTAATGACCGATTTATTATTATTTTTCAATGGATCGATGAGCACCTGCTTTTGGAAAGGGTGCTGTGAGTGGTTTGTAAACCCTGTAAATATTGCATCTGAGCTTGAGAGGCGATTCCTGATTTCTTAAACTGCTGATTTCACTGTCAGGCATCGGAAGAACAAATAATGTACATAATCAGAGTGGGAATCGACCTGTATTTGCATTGGTTTAATTATGAGCGAGGAAAGGAAAAGTCTGTTTATTGGTGTGTGTGTGTGTGTGTTTACACTTTGGATGCAGCGTTCATTGTGATATCTTCATATCCTACCTGTTGTACTGTGATGTTTCCTAAATGATCATACTGACAGATTAAAGGAGAGCAGGAGAGAGATGCTGGTTTGTGTCTTGGGCCGTTCACACTGGAAGCATTTCATCTGCACTGTTTTATTAATTGTTGGTCTTTATGTAAATATTCATCTTATGCAAAATGAAGATCATTTATTCACTCTTATGTTGTTCCAAACCTGCATACGGTTACTTTTTTTGTGTAACATGAGCAATTTTTGAAGAATCTTTATGCAGCTCTTTCCTATGGGAGCTTGTTTTCACCACGGGTTCAATTCTGAGTTTATATGTCGCAATTGTTTTGGTTTTTTCGCCACAGACTAAAAAACTAAAAGGTTACTGCAACTTTTTATCTTACAGTTCAGATTTTTTTCTCAGAATTGTGAGAAATGAACTCAGAATTACAAGATATAAAATCAGAATTTTGAGAAAAAAAGTCGTTTATATTGTGTGATATAAACCCCGAATTATGAATAAACTCAGAATTGTGATGAATTCAGAATTGCAAGATATAAACTCACCTTTCTAAGGAAAAAAGTCTGAATTGCAGAATCGCAAGATGTAAACTCAGAAGTCAGAGAAAAAAAAGTTTAAATTGCAACATATAAACTCAAAATTCTGATTTTTTTCTCATAATTCTGTTTATATCTCACAATTCTGACTTTTCTCATAATTCTGTTTATATCTCACAATTCTGACTTTTTTTCTCATAATTGCGAGAAACAAAGTCCAAATTGTGCAATTACCTTTTTTATTTTTTATTCTGAATTCAGACCAAAAAAAGTCAGAATTGTTATGTAAACTCAGAATCTTTACTTTTCCCCTCACAATTCTGTTTATATTTCACATTTTTATGTCTCATAATTGCAAGAAACAAAGTCTGAAATTATGAGATAAAAAGTCACAATGACCTTTTTAATTTTCATACTTTTATAAAATTTCAAGTTTATACACTAAAAAAAATGGGTGTAGAAGCAATTTTAACTCCGAAAATTCATGTAAATTTCACAAACAATTAGAAAGAAAAGGCAAATAACAGATTGAATTAAATATGACATTTTAAAATATAAAAACTGAAATAGCATTTTCTCGTAGAACACTTCAATAATCTTTTATTTACACGACACGACAAAAAAAAAAACTACTCATCAACAGTTGTCCAAATGACTAATTATTCAAAGACTTTTGAAGTCATATGATGCTTTTTGTGAGGAACAGACCCAAATGTATTTAATTTAGTCAAAACCAAACTTCAGAATGCATGTTTGAATATAGAAATGAGATTTGTGGAAGGGAATTGAATTGAATCCTCACAAATCTGTGTCATATGAAGTTAAAAGTGTTTCCGAACTCCTGCGTTTGTTTCTATAAGTCACACTCATCTGTGTTTGAATGCAGGAACGCATCTGGTGTGAACGGCCCCTCGTTAGTTTGCGCAGCTCTGTGTTTGTGTACATGACGCAGTCGAGAACACATGACTCATAATCAACCTTCTTTCCACAACATGTGTCGTGTGCTTGTTTGTGTGTTGGCTGTTGATGAAGAGAACTATACATTGAATTTTTTTAAAGAATAAATCATGCATATAAAAAAAAAACTGATATCAAGTTTTATTTCTTATACACAGATGCTTTAAGCGTACACAAGTGCTTTATTCATATATTTGACTCACACAAATGCTTTGAGTTTATACAGTTGTTTCAGTATATTTGTCTGTGAATGCAGAATATAAACTATTTACATTATAGATATGCATAGATATACAAAAATGAATTTTAATGCATACAAATCACAAACATTTGACTTTGCTCCAAAAAAATGCTTATAAAAATAGGTTATAACACGCATGCATGATTAAAGCATGTAAGTACTTAATGCACAGGCACTCTTTAGCAGTGCATAATAATGTCAGCAATAATTCAATTAGCTGAAGAACGTTAATGAATCTACAGAGGCAGTCAAAAAGACCTTGAGAGCAGCAGCAGTTAAAAGTCTCGAGAGAGCTCTTAGAGTTCTTACATTCAGAAAGTACACGGCTATTTATAATGTCTCTGCCATAGTCAACAACATCTTGCTAAATGAGTGTTTTAATCTAAACATCATGTGGTTAAAAGCTCATTAAAGAGCAGGATTGCTCTCAAACTCGCATCTCACTGCGCTGATGCTGTCCA